TGATGCAAATCTTCAAAAATGTTATTGGGCAGAAGCAACAAATATGGCAGCCTACTTAATCAACAAAAGTATTTGTTCGTCGCATGGAAAAATTCCTGATGAAATATTCTATAAAAAAAAAATAGACATATCTAACCTGAAATTGTTTGGTTGTGAAGCAATGGTTCACATAAACAAAGAAAAACGTAAAAAATGGGATCCTAAATCCAAGAAAATGTTTTTCGTGGGCTATGATGACGACATTAAAGGTTTTCGCTGTATTGATCCAATAACAAAGAAACTGGTTATAAGTCGAGATGTAATATTCTACGAAAAACCTCAACCAAAGTCGACCTTAAAAATCTATAACGACGAAGTGAGGGAAATAAAGAGAAGCGATGAAGACACATTTGAAGAAGTTAGCATAAAACCTGATGAATCGAACGAAGACGTACAAAGTGTTGCGGAAGATGACACCATGATAGAATCACCGAATCAAACCCAAAATGATCCAGATTATGTTCCTGAACAAAGTATTGATGAATCTGAAGAAGAAAGAAGAGTCACACGATCTAAAGCTAAGGTATCTGTACCATCTTTTCAATTTAATGCTTTTGCATTTCTTTCACAGCCATTAACAGTATCAGAAGCTATAAACGGTGAAAAAGCGAAAGAATGGGAAGATACAATGAATGAAGAAATGGAATCACATAGATCAAATAACACCTGGTCGTTGATGAAACTACCAGATGGAAGAAAGCCTATAAAAGCAAAATGGGTCTTTAAAGTAAAACAAGATGAGGTCGGTAAAGCTGTAAAATATAAAGCACGACTTGTTGCAAAAGGCTGTGCACAAAAATACGGCATCGATTATGATGAAACATTCTCGCCGGTGGTTAGATACACATCAATAAGGTTTTTAGTGGCTTTAGCAGTAAAAAACGGCTATAAAATCCATCAAATGGATGTAGTGACTGCGTTTCTTCAAGGTGATCTTAAAGAAACAATATACATGGAACAACCAGAAGGTTACAATGATGGCACTAACAAGGTATGTAAGCTAAACAAAGCTGTTTACGGACTGAAACAAGCCGGAAGACAGTGGAACTTAAAGCTCGATTCAGCATTAAAAGAATTCGGGTTACAAAGGTGTAAAACTGATCCATGCATTTACTATGATAAAGAATTGAATCTGATAATTGCAATATACGTCGATGATTTCCTTATACTCTACAAAGGTAGTAATAACCTAGAAAAACTAATGCAGTACCTTAACAAAAAATTCAAAATGAAAGATTTGGGATCTGCTCAAAGTTGTCTTGGAATACGTATCATGCAGAGCAAAAATTGCGACGAAATTACACTAGATCAATCGTCATATATAAATGAAATTCTTGAACGTTTTGGTATGCAGGATTGTAAGCCAGTGGGCACACCATGTGAAGTAAGTCAAAAATTGACTGAAAAATGCATCACTGAGAAAAATGATCTGACGGGGAAAATACCATACCAAGAAGCTGTGGGCAGCCTTTTAGATTTAACACAAGGAACTAGACCGGATATAGCATTTGCAGTAAATAATGTAAGCCGGTTTAACTTAAAACACTCAAATGAGCATTGGCAAGCTGTGAAAAGAATATTTCGATATTTAAAAGGCACAATTGATTTCAAACTAAGCTATCGAAAAACTGATGATGTCAACTTGGCAGCATTTAGTGACGCTGATTGGGCAGCAGAAATCGACGGCAGAAGATCGTGTTCCGGCTATGTATTAAAAATGTCCAATGCAGCTATAAGTTGGTGCAGCAAACGGCAACCAATAGTTGCTTTATCAAGCACAGAAGCAGAATACATCGCATTGTCTTCAACAGTACGAGAAATAATATGGATGAAAATGTTAGCCAAAGAAGTTGATAAAAACTTGGTTGAAACTACTAAAGTTTTTTGTGACAACCAAAGTACTATCAAATTAGGCTCGAGCGAAGCATACAGACCAAGGACGAAACACATTGATATCAGATATCACCATATACGTGAAAAAATCGATGAAGGTTCAATCAAATTGGAGTTTCTTGGCACTCAACAAATGGCAGCTGATTCGTTAACAAAAGCAGTCAGCAGAGAAAAAACAAAATTTTGCGCTGAACAAATGGGCTTAAGCTCATAATAAAATAAGACAATAATTAACATTTATAATAATTATCGTTTTACTCACAGTTATCCAATATTATACAACATGGGAGGCTGGTTTTCATCGGAGCAGCAGAAATCCAACAACAATGGAGAAGTACAGAACAATATCAATATTAGTGAACCTGTTCCAATACACAACCAAGAAATCTTGATTATGTTAGGGATTATTTGCATTCTAAAAATAATAGAATTTCTATACTTTTTATATCGATTACATTATCGTAAAGTTAAAAGACAGTATCAAACTCAAAAAGTATAATACACTGTAAAACAAAATCTTGCTAAAACCCCAAAAAAAAAACTGTAGTATAAAATTAACTTCAAATTACATTAAAAAAAAAACATCAAAAATATTGTAAAAAAATTTTTATTTTAAATATGAATAATAATTTTGTAAACAATAAGTGAGGGTGTTGAAAATACTTATGTATTTAAATATATATTTGTATTTGTATATGTGCATATAAAATGCACTCATAAGCTTATTATACTTTATTTACCAGCTTCGCATAATTGTAATACTTATAAGCATATTCTTGATACATTAAACAGTCAGTCCACTCATAAACCTCAAACCGTCGTGTTCTTTATTCTCTCTCTACAAAAATGTGGTAATGTGTCAAAACATCAGCTGTTCAATTGAGAGTTGAATAAGCAAAAATAAAAGTACATCTGCATTCGAGGGCTACATATCGAGGGCATATATGCAATACCCTCTATCTGCAATTTTCACAATGAACTACTTTGTGATGTTAGAACCCATCTGGGACTTACCTGTCATCACTGATTTGAATTCTGATTTTGCAATTTAATAGTAAAATCTTCTGTCAAGCGTTATACAAGGTCAGCAAGGTAAAGTACGACAGATGACAGTTACGTCTTAGGTGGATTTTTGTATCAGAATCTCATTTTTGTGAAGAGTGCAGATGGAGGGTATTGAATGTAAGCAATCGATATATCGTAGCGAAGAAATATCAAGTTTTGTAAGTATTTTCATGAATTTGCAAAAAATGGCGTCTACCAGTTTTTACCGGAAAAGCGTTCTCGTACTTTTTGGGTTCGCTCTCTTTCTCTGAGAGCAATTATGCTTTTTGGCAGTTTTATAGAGAAAAGTTTAGCAACGAAGCTATCATATGGGCCAATTCTTTCCGTCTGATTTCTTGAGTTCAAATTTCGAAAATAGCTGTTATTTTCGATACCTGCGTTTGGGCGTTTGATTTCCTGTAGAGTATTGAATGTAAGATATCCAGTTGGTTGACTATTTGCGTTTGTTTCTTCAGGCCCGCCTCATCAGTATTACCGCTGAAAATGTTTCGAAATGTTTCGCAAAAACAGTGTCACAGCCGAAAAAAGTGTCTTTAAGTCATTCAAATCGATTATACCATGTATGTAAAGACTTTCATGATTTTTCCTTTTGAAACTTATTATTTATATAATAATAACTTAGTGATGAAGGATATATTAAAAAGGCGCAATATGCATATTTTGCATTTAGTATGAAAACAAAATTGCAGTTAAAAAAAGTACTTTAATCATTAAATAAATAATAAATTTAACACAAATAAATTGGGGGAAATGATAAGCTACAAAAACGGTGCATTTATTCGGAAAAGTTTTGACATAATAAAAGGGTTGAAATCAGTCAAAATTCGGCCAGAGGTGCAATTTTTAAGCGTATTTGAAAAGTAAATACTAAAAGCATTTTTAAACACGTAGGAAAAATATAATTTATGAAGGATTTGTCAAAATGTGTATATAGAATTTTAAATCAAAGAAAAGAGCAAAAGTCGCATGATATTTTGGAAAAGTTTCAAAATAAGCCTTTTTTTAAGTCGGTATCAGGGCACATCGATCTCCAAAAAGTGTCAATTTGACACTTTAGTCGCACAACGGTAACACTGCGCCTCATATCCTCTTCAGATAAACTCCTCTCGCTGCAAAGATGAATTGCCTATTTATGATCAAAAAAATTTTAGGTATTCTCGGTAGTTGTCAATGCACTTTTATTTAATAAAGTTGAGTTTGAAAGAAAAATGGCACATTAGGCTTTTCAGCTTTACAGCAAAGTCGATGGGGTAGTTGTCTGCTCGCGGCTATAAGTGAGTGAGTTTGGCTGGTTTAAGATTTTGGGAGTTGAGAGAGTTGAAAATCGTTAAGACACAATACGATGTTAGATTTCTAATCACTTCTGTCAGGGAAATTGACAACGAAGTTAAACATACATACATTTATATACATATTCACATTTGTAGACTATTACTGCCTTGAATGTCGAGGAGAGTCTCCAACGACATCTGAGACGTCTCACTGATAACTTATGTCACGTATACGTAAATACAGAGCAACTGGATTAAATATTGAAATCTCTGTACACAAGCCTTAAGACATAAAATTCGTTTTCTTAGTATGTATTTACTCTCTACAACTTCTACAACTTGAGATAATGACAAAAATGCATTTTCATATCTAAAAATCTGTGATTGTGTAAACTAGTTTGCGCGTTTGAATTTTATAGACCCTTCAATTTTGATAAGAACCGAATGGTAGTAACTTAATATTTACACTAAATTAACATACCTATATATATATATATACATACATATAATGTATCTAACAGAGTATGTGTATCCGCAATAAAGTCATATTTAAAATGTAATAAATGTAGAATTTAAAACTAAACTTCTCGTGAAGAACATCTCATTTACTGCACGCCCACACAACTGGGCAGCCGGAAGCGCGTTATTAAACAATTTTGAATAATACTTAGATCGCACGCAGTAACACGCGCCATTATCAAAACTCATATCTACAACCATTATCCTGGTGAAATGTCAACCGCAAACGGTACACTCGACGTGATCGACGTCAACAAATTCGGTCAATTCACTTTCGACAAAATCGATTATTTCGTTTTCACAACCATGTTAAGCGCCTCGCTGCTAATTGGCATTTATTTCGCTTTTTTCGGGCATGGCGCGGATAATACGGAAGAATATTTACTCGGCGGTAAACGCATGAAAACGATACCGATCGCCATTTCGCTGATTGCGAGGTTGGTTTCCACCAATTGTGTTTTGGTTTGAAAAAGATAAAAAAAAATGTGTTCAATTTACTTTTTCTAATTTACATATTTTATCACTAGTCAATTGTCGGCGATTTCGATTATGACAATCCCCGCTGAGATGTATTCGTTTGGTATGAACTGGTGTTTCAATGTCGTCACAATGATATTAATTGTACCGTTACTTTGCTGGGTCATTATACCTGTGTTCTACAATAATAATCTTTCGAATTGTTATGAGGTGTGTATGTTTGAAAAAATAGGGAAACAGGGCGTGGTTTTCATTAGAGAAAGATAAAAATCAAAATTATTTTATTTTACTACGTAGTAATAAGATGTAAAACAGTTTCGTGCCTAGGTAATTGGTGAAATTAAATACATACATATGCCACGTTTGGCAGAGAAATGGTTTTTGGGCCAGGGTACGCGGATACTCCTATTCAATTAATAAAAAAAAAAAAACTGAAAATCCGGATTTAATCGGTACAAATATGCAAAATCGGAACACCTATACGTCCTGACTTTTAAAAAATATTCAGCGGTACAATTTTCTCAAAATCGGTACTGTCCCGCCAAAATCGGTACGAATGGTCACCGTAATTATGACACTCTTCCATCAAATGAGCGTTATCTATGCACGTATGCATGAGTATCAACGTGCATATGTACTTACATATAATTTGGATAAAAAACCGAGTTATAAAGATAAAAATCTGGTATGAATGACTAAACTAAATTTGTAGATTAGCTAATACGGATATTACAATTTCAAATGCCTTAAACTTGGTGTGGAAATACATAGTCTTTGAAATTAAACCGCTTTTGAAAAAAGCTCTTAGGGTTGAAATCGAGATCCAACTAGTAAAAAATTATTCCCAGATTAAGGGGTTTTCATAAATTCATAGAAAGCTGTGGGGTTTATACACATACACACATATGTATATAAATTTTTAAAATTATTTCTATAGTTGGCAGAAATATTTGCGAAATAAAGCTATCATCAACCTGTTTTTCTTAACATCCATATTGTAATATTTCTTTAAATGGCACTCGAATTTTAAACAGTTGGCAACCACCTTAAAAATATTGTAGAAATAAAGCTTTCTAAACATGTTTCGTTTGATAACACTAGTGTAATATTTAATTTAACTTATTAATAAAATCAAATTTTGACTTTTAAGCAGGTGGCAACCCTCTTCAAATTGTTTTCGAGGTGAAGTTTAATTTATACTCCCCCCATTAAAAAATTTTCATCGGTGATGAAAACGAAAATTTTGGAGTACATATACAGACAAGGGTGGTTAGGCATCCGGTTTCCTTGAATCTGATTACATCCCGTGCTCTAGCAGTTTTGACTGCAATGTCAACAGGTGGTATGTTCAGCGTTTCGTTAAACGGTAGGACAGGAGTGGTCCGCATTGCTACATACATAGCTCGTTGTACGCGCTCCAGCTGCCTAACTTGGCGAGTTTTCTCTAGCGAATTGCACCAGACGAGAATTCCATAAAACAGGATGGGCTTAGCTTTGAGCGAATACCAAGGCGAATTGACATATGAATACGCCGCCCTGTTCTCTACTGCTAATGAGTAGTAGAGGATGACGTATATTCTCTACCAGTAGAGAAATAATCGGTAGAGAAGAGTGACAGAAACGAGCTACTGGAGCCCTTCCGCAAGAATATAAGATAACTGATGCCTTTCTCACTCTGTTCTCAATACCAGGTTTCCCTAGGATCCAGTCATGCGAAATGTTGCGTTGGAACCTTGAATCTCTATTAAAAAAAAATGCTGGAATTGACTCTGAGGCCGCTAGTAGCCGCTGTCTAGATTAGCTTGTGTGAGTTTATACGGGATGTCCAGAAATCTAACCCAGCGCCTCTCTCAAGCAAGTCTTTTACGACCACTATCCAGGGCAGAGGTGAACGAAACCCATCTTATGGGGTGTATCTTTTCGACTTATGCTTCCAACAGGCGCTGAGCCATTCAGCTTTAATATTTCTGTCGCAAAGCCAGTTGCATACGACCCTCAATAGGTTGATTTCAACCCCATTGTTTCCGGCAAGACGTTGTTAAACGCGCACTCGATGGTGAGGAGGGGCCCTACTGCAAAATCTTTATGAATAAATATTTGCTTTATCCACATTCTCATTGTATGCAGTGCGGTCTCCACAGAACTTCATGTATCGTAAGCAGAAATCCCATTTCTTCATTCTTCTTTCGCATAAAACAAAAACGATGAGAGACTGATTGGCCTAAAGTCCTTACATTGGTTAAACAAGGGAGCTCTTTCCAGAGCCTTCAACCAACAAGGCACCTCTATAGCCTTTTAAAATTGTGTAGGAACGATATTATCCAGTTGCGGGTAGTTAAAGGGTTTCAACAAGTTTATCCGCACATGACAGGCGACAATTATCCAGGAAGTCGGAAAGGGTAATTAAACATTCGCACCTTGCCCCAATGGATGCCTTGCCAAGGGAAGGTTTATAAGATAAGTGACCACCAAGGAGAAGCTTTAGTTCCTCGTCTCTCGGGTAGGCAAAGGGAGGATTCCACGGTCCTCCGCCTGAAGGGCACTCTGTCTTCTGGAATCGCTTAGCTGGCATGACCGGACATGTTTATTCAGCGTGCCTTAGGAAAGTATCTGGTAAATAAAGTAATTAGGATATCATTCAAGAGTTTTAAAGAAAACACTTTTGGTGTTTGGTGTTTTTTTTTTAATTTTCGAACTATCTTATATGTAGTGCGTGGTATTGCAGTTACCGTCAATCGACGAAATAATACACAATGTAAATTAAAAAATTAAAAAAATCCTGCAACTTAGAACACATATGTCGTTCCAGTACAAGCCGTGACTCCAGTCGAGCAAAAAAGCTGCATGCTCGAAATTTTAAAACCACCACCACAAAGACCTTTGCCTTTTTGGCAATAAAATTTTTTCCTAATTTTTATGATACATACATACATAGATAGATATGAAAATTGCAGATACTACATAATTTCTCTTGAATATTTTCAGTACTTGGAGTTGCGCTTCAATCGTGGAACACGGCAACTACTAACTTTTGGCTTTATGTTTACTTTGTTTCTAATGCTGCCGGTTATCTTATTCATACCCTCTCTAGCTTTTTCACAAGGTTTGTATATGCATATGTATGTAAATATTAACATTTTTCTAATGCCGCATTTCCACTATGCATTGAATGGAAAAATTTCTAACGAAAAAAGTTGTTTAACAAAAAATACCGGTATCATATAGAAAACAATTGTCATTAAAGGCTCAGTTATGCATACTTTGCACTGCACTGCATGGCATGTCGTTTTACTTAGAAATCAAAAATCAACAGACTTGCTTTGGGTGCTTTGGGTAACCGCGTACACACGAAGCTCATTTAACAGACTGCTTATGTGACAACTCTCATGCAATGCCAAGTATGCATAGATAACTGAGCCTCAAGTCTGTTTTCACATAATCTTTTAATTGTTGTTTTAATTTTCCGGCATCCGGAACAGAAGTTTCGACTAATCCGTTTTTATAATTATGACGCAAAAGTTTAAGCTCGAAAGGCCAGATATTCTGACATACATACATACATATGTACATACCTCAATTATTATCACTTACATACATTTTTATTTTT